GAAGACTTTTGCCAGACCAACAGTCAGCTGAAGCAGTCCAGGGCATTATGCCAGCAACCACAACTCCACTGACTTAGGATCAGGTATCTGTTGCCTCATGCAGACGCCAACTGACAGGCCTCATAGACAGCATCCAGTATCAATGGGTTATTGAAGACAACTGTGAGTTTGCATTTGTTTTTACCTTCCATATTCCAGCAAAAATTAACCCCATGTTAACCACATAAAGTCATCTGGGTGCAGAAATAAAATTTCTCAACTTCTGAGGAAATGCTGTGCCAAGATGGCAGAGAATCTGTATCACCTTACCTGAAGAGCACAGATGCTCACCGCAGCTCCACAGACCACCTTGGTATTTTGTTACACTCTTAGGTGGGCAGAGAATGAACTAATATCTCTACTTATATGGGAACTTGTTCATATGGAGATTTAAGCACCAAACTAAGATTGCATTAAAATCGTGGTAGCCTTCCAGGAGCTACATTCCTTCTGAGCTTCAGGGAAGTCTTATCTAGATCTTGAGCCCAAACACATAATTTCAGTGGTACTTACTCCCACTTAATGGACACAATGTATAATAACTTATTCATAGTTTCCATTACCTCATTTAGAGTCATGGAAGTTAACGAAGGTATAAACTATTAGGGAAAGTACAAAGAGAACATTTTGAAAATCAACAGTCACACTGTAAATATACAATCCGTGCTATTCAAAAATTCCCAGTGCCATCAAATGCAGCTATGTTTAATTATTTTCTTCCTCTAGTGTATCCACACATATTTCCCACCAGTATTCTGAATCTGTAGAATTAGTTTTACAGGGATATCTGTGATACATCCAATACACAGGCATCTTCCCACATTCATTTTTTCACCCCTAAGTCTGTATGATTCACTTGTGAATTCGTGGTTGAAAGGTCAACACAGATTTCTAGCATCATATGAATGAAGTTCCTTATAAAAACAGATATTAAGATTCAGGCCCATTTCATTCCACATGGGCTGCTTCTGTTTGAATAATGCTATTTATGTAAACTGAATTTTCTTCAGTTTCACTCTTCTGCACTGTCATTTTCTTGCTATGCTTCTCGCTAATGGCTTTTAGGGGCAAAACAAACCGTTCCCTATATTTAAAGCCACAGGTTCTATTCCAACTCACATCATGAATATATCCTAATTTTATTTTCAATTATAAAAGAATTTTACAGAATCTGATCCTCCATTAACATCCAGTTCTATGCATGTAGACTTCAAAATAGGTTCCACTACATATGCATGTGATTATGGCCTACGACTGCATTTCAGTATTACTGGAAGCTGCAGACAAGTATAAAAACTCTGCGATTTTGACACAAGTGATATCAGAATGCCCAAAAACAGTATTAATGAACTCACTGAACAGACATACAAACATGAATTTATTTCTTGAAAGGGATTAACCAAGAGATCGGAGCAATGCGTTATGACATCAGCTATAAAAACTGCAGTTTGACTGGATTATGGAATCAAAGCTACCTTCATAGAAGATTGTTGAGTCTTCCTTTCTCCACCTGCAGTGCTCCTAAGAGAAAATGCACCAAGAATCTAAAATGTTGCAATCAGAGTCTAGACAATATTGACAATTTAACTAACATTCTTATGCATGTAGGGTTTTTTTCTGTGTAAATGAAAACCAGCTTTATCCACATACTGGGGAAGGATGGAGGATTCTGGGAGTTGTAAGATCTTTTTTCCTGTCTAAATGTTGATAGTATTGGACCATATGTGTTATGAAGTCAAATAAGTACTTTTTCTAAAGACAATGTTTTTCACTTAAGAGTCCTACCATTGTCCTAAATAAAAGTATGGTGAATCTGACTGAGTTCACCTGCTTGTTAACTTGCAGGTGTAAGTTAACTATGTAAACTAACACCTGCAATGTAAACTAAGACTGGCCAGACTGTATAAACAATAACTATTCAACAATAATTCACTAATGACCCTAAAACAGAATTGTAACCAGTGAGGGATGTATATGCCATTTCTGATAGGTGGATTGTGACTGTTTGAACTACAAAAGTTATCAGATACATTTTAATACAAATTTACATGAATAGTATGCCTTCTGTATATTGATGCGTCTACGGTAGCTTGCATTTTATACAATTATTGGAAAAAGCCATGCACTTGAACCATATGCCTTGAAATACATACATGCTTTCTTTCCTTACAATTTCTATAAAGAATCTCAAACTTTTTCAAATCAGCCTTACAGTTTGAACCAAACAAAATAAGATGATGCAAAGCTCATAGGAGCTGCTGCTTTTTTCTTTCTTCCAAAGATTCAGAAAAACAAAGCATGCCTTCACTTACTGAAAATGAAACCGCTAAACACTATCCAGATTAAGGCTGTATTCCAATGTATACTTTCCTGGAATTTAGTTCTTCTGGACATGATGAGACTAACCTTGGAGGATGCATTCATAAGATTGAACAGTCAATAAAGATAGGTCAAAATACCCACCATCCTTTTCTGCTCCATTATATTCCACATTTCCCCTTCAACAGATTTATTGGAAGTTAATCCAAGAATTTGCATGCTTTTTATTAGATTTATTTTCCGCCAACTTGGGCCAAGGGCCTTCTAAGTATTAGGAAAATATTATTTTTCTAAGTATTAGAAAAATAATATCTAAATATTTACTTTTTTCCCCTAGCTCCACCTTGAATGCCATTTTCACAAACTGAAAATTAAATAATATTGGGTTCATAATGCATGATTTATTAGCCTCAAAGTGAGCAATGCCTCCATATGTTCTGCATTTGTCCCTCCATCCATGCCCCAGCTGTGGCACAGATATGGTTGTGTCTTTAAACCAACATTTCAGTTACATCTGAACCAAGGGATTATGGTTAAAACCCTGCTTACTAACCAAAATATTAAACCAGAATCAACCAGGATTAAAGCAGTAATTTTTTGATTCAGATATAATGAAATTCGTGTTCAAACAAGCCACAATCTTAACACCAAAGCCAGAACCAGAAGGAGGTGAGACATTCAAAAGAAGTCACACTGGCACAGAGCTCATTCTTAGAAAACTAGAACACAGAAGCATAGAAACAGAGCGAGTCAAAAGCGGCCTCCTGGGCCATCTGGTCTGACCTCTGGCTCTAGTCAGCTCCACTCATGACATGCCTACCATGTGCATGTCCAAGAAACAGAGCAGGCTTTCTTGGGCTGATCTGTTATAGTTGAACTAGACTTAAAGAATAAAGCTTTTCCCCCCATAATGGGGCTTTTTTCCTGCCATTTTGCAAATATCTTATTGGAATTGTTGGGTGTTACTAGTGTTCCATTGTTTGCAAAATTAATTATCAGTCTTAGATTTAAGGGAGCAAGGCAGATTGCATGAATCCAATACAGGCTATTGACCTTTAAAATCTGGTTTCCCTGGGTTTATGATAGCACTCCACTAGTACTTGAAAGTCTGTCACAAGAAGGAAGGACAGAATTTCCTCTCAATCATCCCAGAGCTCAGGACATGGAATAATAGGTTCAAATTACAGAAAGCCAGATTCCGGCTGGATATCGGGAAGAATTTAGAGCACTACAACAATGGAACAATTACGTAGGGAGATTGTGGGCTCTCCCACACTAGAGGCATTCAGGATACAGCTGGACAGACAATTGAGAAGGGTGGTTTAACTTGGAGTCCTGCACTGAACAGGGAGTTGGACTCCATGGCCCTCTGGCCCCTTCCAACTCCACTATTCTATAATTCTAAGAACTTGCACATATGAAACGCAGCAAGCAGAACGTACGTGAGTTAAGTGTAAATGTATGTAAAATGTATTGCAACAGTAGAGAAAAGAATGATATCCACTCTTGGAAAAATGTGGGTGGATTCAGTGTATCATGAACAACGTCTTTCATAGTCACCACATAAGAGGAGTTAAATGGAAGTAGACAGTGTGACTTATTTTGGATGAATCGCCAAGTGGCTGGCTTTCTGAAATTATGGTGGCAACAGAGTCCTCTGGCAATGGGTCTTTTCTATCACATCTGAAGAGCATTATCCTTCCCCCTTTGTAATTCACTTCCCATCAGCAGCAAAACAGCTGAGTGGTGAATAACACTGGCTTAAAGAACATATCACCCATGGATCTATGCATAAGGTCAATGTCCTTGATCTAAATTAAAGTCAACAGCAAGCTGCAAGGAGACAGGAGATGGAGCTCAGATTCTCTGGAAATGAGGGATGGTAAGGGCTTTCTTAAGAAATAAAAAAGTAAAACAAAAACAAAACAAAACACAAACATACTGTTGTGTGAAGAGGGGTGATGAGTTCCATAAAATAACCAGGGAAGAGGACAGATCACCACATACAACCATGGATATAGAAGGAGCTGGCTGTTCTTGGGTAGGATTATCTTTGTGTTGCCAGCTTCTATTTGATAGTAACAGCAATCTCACCTGCTTTCATGAAACCTGGTCCAATAAGACCTGGCACAGAGGCCTTCACACAGCTATTTCCATGAGAAGTCAAATACCCAGTGAGCACTAAAGTCCCAGACTATAGCCAACTAATATATGCAATGAAAGAGTATCCCAGAATATTTTAGACCAACTGCATATACTCATGAAGTTCCTAACTGAGTCTCCCAGGAATGACACTAGAGGCTGTAAAGAGCAATTTCTAGGGAAAACTCTCCTTGCATAGAATGTAGAGAAACTTCACTGCCCAGTGCTCATTCTTCCAAAGCTAAATTAACAACATTTTATTCTGCAGTCCATCTCAAGGGTGTTCACATCATGATCAGTGCATGTGAATACACTCTAAGCAATCCTGTGGTAGGTAAATGGGAAAATGAGGCAAAATTGAGACTTGAAAAATACAAGATTCCAAGGGGGTGGGCACAGAAAAGTAATATAAAATAGGCATTATTTTCACAGACAGGACCACATAATGAGCCTTAATACAAATGTTCCCATTGCATTGCTTTGTGTTTCTGCAAGACCTTACTGGATTGGAAGACAAGTGTTACTCCTGATCGATCCTGGAGAAAGCATTTGCCTGGAGAATCTCCATACAGTTGACCAGAATGAGGACTCCAGTTAATTCTCGCCACTGTTTAGTCACAGGATTTTTCATTTTGTCCAGTGCAGATTGCAGATCTTGCAACATGTCTCTGCAGCTGTCTCCATAGTGAGCTCCCCAGGTATACAGAAAATCATATGCTGGTTTCCACATCATCTGCAGTTGGATAATAGCAATGATATACATATGTTTAGCTTCACAACAATGTAGTTATACATATAAAGGAGAGTGTGAGACTTAGTTTGCACAGTCCTTGCAGCTTATATAAGCCATTGTGGGTTGCGGCATCCATGGGTGTCAAAGTGGTTTATTGTGGTTGCTTGGATCCAGCAAAAGAGGGTTTTTTGTTGTGGTTAAGAAACCAGCCCGCAGTGGTACAATAGCCCATGGAACTGGGTGGTTTGTTAACCATCCCAACAAGACACTGTTTCTGGATTTGGATGAAAAGAGAAGCCATGCCTAGTTAGGGTGAGTATGTAAATAGGACTGGTGTGCACATGTCTTTAACAAGCTGCTGTGGTTTATTCATCATTCTTGTATTGTGAAAACCAGCCTAACAAGAGAATGGCCAAATGAAAGCTGCTTAGACATGGATTCAGTTTCACCAAATTCATTACATTCCTAATGAAATTAGTAACCACCAGATAATTATTTTATTAGGAGCACAGTGTCAGCCTGAGAGCTATTATCAGCCTGAATGCATCAAACATTTACAGTTAATATTCAAAATTAGTTTCAAGCATTTTGATTTCTTCTCTCACAGGGGGTCTGCCCAGAAACTTCTGCAGCATTTTAATCACCACAACCATTCATCCAGCATCCAATTATCATTTTGCTTTTATGCATGACAGATTAATTCCCAAGCTTTGGATCTCCCTTTCTAGTAGGGTGGTCATATGTCCTAGTTTACAGAGGCTAGCTCTCTAACTGTAGAACTTTATCTGAAGCCATCCTCTATTTCAAGCTTTCCCAGCCTTATTATTTCTATATAATAATGTGAATTATTTCTAAAGTTGCTTTTATGCATAATGAAGAAACAGAACTATCTCCCATGTTCGTATTTATTTATGGGTTCTACCTTTTGCCTTTGCACTGGGTAGAATCACCCAAAAGGTCTGTGTTTCATAAGAAATTATAGGAGTCAGAACATATGCTGGGGAAGCCAAAGGTTTACAAATGCCCTAGTCAAATATTCCATTAGATATAGAAGCCAAGATCTCCGCAGAGAAAGAAGAAAAACATTTGCATGAGGTTCTACAGAAGGTCAAGGGAAGAGCTTAGGAAATGGAAGCTAACAGGAAGGTGAAAAAGAAACTGCCTTACAGATTCACTGGGCTTGGGCAGGGAAAATAATATTGAGGTAAAAAGCCTAAGGCAGAAGCTGAGAGAAAAGAAAGAATGAAGGAAAGAAGCCAGAAAGAGGCAGAGAGGTTGCATCAGGAAAGCTGGTTGAGATGGAACTGGATTTAGGACAGCGAGATGTTGCTTAGATTAGGGATCTAAAGATCGAGACTCTGTGGGATGTGGTCATTTGCGAGCATTTGAATACGTGCTTTATTTATTTATTTATTTATTTAAAACTGTTGTGCCCCGTCCTATACAAAAAAAGTCTCAGGATGGTCCAACAACAAAGCACAGCATAAAATCTGATAAAAGCCTGCTTGCATGTTTTTTTGTTTGTGCATCCACTCAGATTTTAAAACTGATATTCATTAACATTTTTCTTTATTAAGCCTTTAAAGTTTGTTGTCCCTTTAGCCAGGATGGGGTTACCTATCCCATGTCCAATAGGCAGTCCATATTCAGCCTTGAGTGTGTACCTGAGACCCAGCGATTTTAATGGCTGGTTTGTAAGAGGCAGCAAGGCCGCAGGAAGGGATAAGCAAAAAGTAGTGGGGCAGACCGTTCAGATGGTTACTATTGCATTGCTTTTATAGCTTGCCTTCCCTACAAGCAACATACAAGGTTCTTCTCCTCCCTGCTTTCACCTCACTGCAACAACCTCAGGCTGAGAGTCCATGCACATGGCAGGCATGTCATGTCATGAGCAGAGCCGGCTAGAGCCAAGCGTCAGACTAGATGGCCCGGGAGTCTCCTTCTGACTCGCTCTGTTTCTTTGTTTCTATGTTATGAGTAGAACCTGGATTTCCAAGTCCCAGCCTAGCTTTCTTAACCACTATACCACTTCCACTATGACACATGCAAATCAGGACATTCAAATGTTATGCAAATCTTGTTTTGCAGAGGATCAATTTCCACTCTTTTGGCAAGGTACAAGTAGCTAACTCTTAAAAAGTGACCTTTGGGAATATGAATTCGTTCAACCTTATCTACCGACTTAACAAAGCAAGCACCCTCCAGATATTTTGGACCCAAACTACCACCAACCCCAGTGCCAAGGCCCAGGAATCTTGGATGTGGTCATCCAAAACATCTGAAGGAAACCACACTGGGGTAGACTGCGACAGTTAGAACCAAGAATAGCATAGCTGGAAAGGAACGTACAGAAAGGGATACAGTTTAGTGGGTAGCACATGTGTTCTGTATCTAAGGTCCCAGGTTTAATCCTGATCATGAAAAGGGCTGAAAGTGCAGTGCTGAAAAACAAGCTGCCACTCAGAAATAAGAACCAGTGCCCTGACTCAATACAAGACAAGCCTACTTGATGACAAATATGGCCATTGCTGAATGTAATGGGATATCACTCCTGGTGAAGGGGAAGCAAGAAGCTTAAATGTGGCGAGGTCAAAAGAATGAGATCCCATCTTGATCTGCAAGTATCTCCAGATAAGCCATCTTCATGATAGCACCTGGGGAGCAAGTGCCAGTCTTCTGTAGAGTGCTGATCTAAACAGATCATTTTTCTGACTCATGCAAGGCAGCATCTTATGGGAGGCATGATCAGGAGAGGGAACTTGCAACTACCTTCTTGCAGTACTGAACATGCATGAGTGACACAAATGTTGTCAAATCAGAATTATCTTGATAAGGGGGCAGAGCAGTTTTAGAAATTGGTAGCCATCCTCAAAGCTAGTACTAGCTCCTAGAGATGTACTAACAGTTGTGTTCACAAAACTTAAGGATGTGTAGTTTAGAGATTAATTTTCTTCTTCCTCCCCCCACCCTTCTTCTTTTTAAATTTCTATCCCACCTCAAAGCTGAAGTTCTCTAGGCAGCTTGCAATAACCCATAAAAACAAGACAATAACTGTAATAAAATATTCTTCCTGATTCTTCCATTTTATAGGTGTTTTCTGGAAGTTGCAACGGAAAAGAGAGGAGAGAATGTTTGCGTTTGGTTTGCATGTATGTGTGTGCATGTGGGAGGGGGAAATCAGCCAAATGAAAAATAGAAAAACAAATTATACAGTGCAAAACTGTATGATGGTATTTCCCCTTGCTTATGTTTCAACTGTTTTTAAAAAAATCATTTAAAACACTTTTGAGAATATTTTAATAAGCATGTATTTTTGAACTTCTATTTGGAAAGACAGAATAAATGGCAAATGAGAATGATAACCAAAAGGTACATTTAGACTTTGGTCAAGTGCTCCATCAGTCACCTCTATCTTTAAAAGAAATCAAACACATCTCCCTTAAAATTCATTTTGAGAAACACTAGTGAAAGGGAGCAGCAGCAAATAAGCCAGAATGTCACCATCCTTATTATGGGTAATATCGAAACATAATCAGCTATTATAAAAGTAACTTGAATTTTCAGCTTCCAAACTTCCTGGATCAAATGTACTCAATAGAGCTTGATAATAACAAGAAGATGGGCTTGCTACATGCCACTTCTCCAGGTCTGCAGGCTGGGTCATGAAAGTCAGGCTGCCTTTTTGCCATCTTGTTCCATTTCATCAATTTTAGAATTCAAGGGCTGGAAGGAATGCAATGCACTCTTACTACTATTTTACTTAAAAGTATTGAGAAGCTACAGGATGACTTGTAATAGGATCCTCGGCACATACAAACTGGTTAAATAATCAAATACTATTTTTAAAGCCTTAAAACATAGCTGAAACCCTTTACCTAAAGACACTTCTCTTATTCTGGAGTTCTTGAAAATTTTAATGAAAAAAGAGAATTAAATGTTATAATAATTTGTATCAGTTTGCGACTGAAACTTGTGAAAGAAACAAGCAGTTTGCATGTGTAAGAAATTATAACACTGTAGAACTTCAAATCAGTTTTTTCTCTTTCACTCCCACAATGATTGAGCCACTGATTATGTAGATCACATACAAGAAAACCTAGTTATGTAATCTACCTATAATATTAAGAAAGAAAAGCTAAATGGGCTAAACACCTAACACAACATTTTACTTACAGGAAAGCCCTACCCAAATGCCACATGTGGGGTGCTACTTTCCATACTGCTTTGCCTCATCGCCTCCTGTTCATTATTTTAGAGCTTGTTAATTGGGGCTCCTTCCCCAAAGGGAAGATTCTTCTTAAGACCATCTGTCCTTATATGTTTCTGCCTTAGAGTTCCAGGGCCAAAGGTAGACAGAGTTCTCCAGGTGCTGAGGGTCATCACCCCAAGCAAGGTTCCCTGACAAGACCCCCCTGGAGCTGGTGTTCTTCTTCACTGTTGTAACCTGCTTGGTCACCAATGGGCTGTGCTCAGTACAGGAGAAGTCACTGCCTGCTTGCTCACTGGCCCTCTGCCATCAAGCAAGCCAGTGGTAACAGTGAAGCAACCAAGGAGCCATGGCATCTGGTGAGAAGGCAGACTCAACCAGAGGAGTGCCAGGAGGAGGGTGACTACTCCAGAGCCATCCAAACCCTGGAGCCTATAAGAATTTCTTTTGGAGGCCCTGCTCACCTCGACCTTCTGAGGTGAGATGAAAAAGCATAAAAGGCCCATGAAGGGTTCTGGCATTTGTTTGGCACTATCCCAGATGGCCTGAAGGTCCCGCTAAAGACATGGCTGTTTCCTCAGGGTTTGAACAGATGATTCATTTAGATTGATTTTGATTCTCTGTCTGCTTTGATAATGAATTTGGGTTCTGTTTGCTTTGTGTGTGTGTGACCCTATTGTCTGAAATGATGCTTTTTGCCACCTAGGACATTACTAATGAGAGGAGGTTATGACATTTTTTAAATAAGGACATAAATAATACTTGGATTGGTGCTGGATACAGCCACATTTCTTTAAAACACAGAGAAGACAGTAGGTGAAGAAGGCATGAACATGACAAGGTTCAAACAAGGTTTGCTTGAGGAATGCAGACTTCCAGCTTCTTATATCAAAATGTTTTGTTCCACACCTTTTAGACAAGTCTTCCCAGCCTCCAGATGTGCTGGGTCCCAATTAGTATCACCTACAGCCATCTACCCACCCCTTTGGCACCTGCAGGTACATCCAACGGTGCCCTCAAAGCTCTTCATTCCCTGCCTCCTTCAAGAAAAATATCATTAAAATATGACAAATTTTGAAGTGCCAAATGCTCATTCCTAGTTCTGAATCTGCCCTGATCAGCTGTTCAGTGGGCACGAAGAGAACACAAGGCAAAAGGAGAAAGGAGAGAGAAAGAAAGAGGCTGGAAGAAGTGGGAAGAGCTGCAGCGGTGTCCCCATCCAACGATCTGTGCCACTCATAGCTTGGATGACATAAAAAACTATGGCATTGCCAGCTAGGCAATGAACACACACACTGGCTGCCAGCCTATGCCACAATCCACCATGGTGTAAAGCAACTCTGGGGATTATAAGAACCTGATCCATGTTTCATTTCATACTACTGCCATTCCTGTTGAAAAAATAAGTTTTTAAAAGAAATAGTAAGGACCATTCCCACAGTTTTACATCACCATCTAATAAACTAACAGGTGAGGAGTCACCAGGTCACCACATGATATCTCATCCAAGCCTGCCCCAAACCTTGATCCTGACTTTATAGAAGGTGAGGATGAAGATTCTGCTTCAAATTGGGAATAAGGGAGACTTGACACACAAGATTACTGTGAGAATAGGTACGGTAAGAAATATCAGATGCTGCGTTGGGAAATGCCAGTCGGAAGAAAGGAAGGAAGGAAGATAGATCTGATGCACAGTTCAAAGCATCAAATTCCTGGGTTGTAAGCTTTGCATGTTGACTGACCAGGAGACAGCTGTTTAGTTGTTGTAAGTATTTCATATAATATTTCTCAATGACAGTTTAATATCACTGGAGCAGAATCTAGAGTTGTTTGTAATGAATGACTCCAAATAAAAATATTACTGTAGTAAAAAAAAGAGGATAAGCACACTGTAAAATCTAGTTTCTTCTCTGTCAAATAGGCTCTATACAGAATGCAAGGTTCTTCCTAAGAGTCATTTTTCTTGTAGGATTTTGGATTTCTCAATATTTAAGAGCTGGCCCAGTGATACGGTGGAAGGAGAATGACATCATCAATCTGAGTGCATTCTCAAGCTTTGAAAGCAATGAAGTAATAAATGCATTTTCCATAGGTCAAAGTTTGCTTTCACAAAGCAAAAGTTTTAGAAGGAAATGTCTCATTTAGACTGAAATCTTCCCCCCTTCCTTCCTTACTTAACACTAAGTCTCATTGAACTGAATGAGCTTACTTCTGAGTAGACCTGTACATGATTGCACTCTCATAGCCTCACCTCTGGAGGAACGTCTCCACTTTTACCACGGTGGGGGGTTTCATAAGCTTCGATCTGCTGTTTTGTGAGCCGGGCTAATTTTTCTGCCAGTTCTCTCCAGCCTTTCCCCAGTTTTACAGCTGAAGTAAAAATGATGGTGTCCTGTGTAATGCGAGCTAGTAATCCTTGGCAATCGAGCTTCAGAAAAGCCTGCAAACAGATTTTTATGGTTATGTTTCAAGCAATATTTAACAGGAATAAGTATAGTGTGCCAGAGTAACTATCTGGAAAATTAACAGCAAACAAGAACATGTTGCTTTGCTTCAACTTTTGTACAACAATCAGCTCTTACAGAACAGCAGTAGAAAAGTTAAACATAATTAACTGGATATCACACAACTTCCCTACTTCAGGTCACTTGGGCCAGCTTTTATTTTCTAAAAGGAAAAAACCCAGTATTTGAAATTCAGCTTCTTCAAATATGCCATTAATTATGGAAATGCTGAATAGAAGTTACAAATGTTATTGTTCTTTACAAATGAAGAAACCTTTGCTTTGCTCCCCAAACAAAGCAACCAAATGGCACCTTCTGTTCCACGTATAGAATCCAAACTTGCTGCCAGGTGAGTCTTACTTTAGCACCTACTGGGGGCACGACAGTGTCCTCTTCGGCATGAGAGCTCAGGGGTTGCTGAGCAGGCCATTTGGCACATGTATATCTTCCCCAAATACGTTGGTGGCCTACTGCTCTCAGGTGCACAACTTAGCAGAGGATGCACATAACTTGTGCTGGTTGTCTATATGCACTTTGTACATGCGGTTGGTTGTACGCACTTTGGTTGTCTACATCTCTATTCCTGGCCAGTATCTACCACCAGCTGCCTTGCTTTGTTTAATACAGAGGTAGAACCTCAGGCTGGGAAATCAAATCTGGCCTTCCAGAGGTTTCATTGCTTCCCTCACATGGAAACCACCAAGAAATGGTTCCACAGAGTGGCAGTGCATTTCTGTTTAACTTTGTTTCCTTTTGTGAGGAACCTAAGGCAACTTTCATAGCTCCATTTAATCCTGACAATGACAACTCTATGAGGTAGGTTAGGCTGAGGGGGAGTAACTGAACAAAAGGCACTCCGTGAGCTTCATGGCCAAGTGGGCACTAGAACTCAGAACTTCTGAGTCCTAGTCCCACACTTTTAACCACTATGCCACTCTGGCTCTCAATACATATTAGGTGAACCATAGGATCAGAAGAGGCCTAGAAACCGCCTGCCCAATGCAGGACTCAGGTCTCCCATCCAGATTCTAACCAGGGCTGACCCTGCTTAGCTTTCCAAGATTAGGCAGGCTCCGGCACTTCAGGTAATCAGGAAGTATTCACATAATGCATCTATTCTCTTCGTGGGCTTTTTCTGAATATTGTAATAGTAAATTAAAAGGTTTCTCCTTTTAATTAAAAGGAGAATCAACGATTAAAATACCTGCCAGTTTAAGACCACATTTGAGGTCATTGTATGTTGATTCAAACACCACAGAATCAGGAAAGTGGGGGTCAAAAGTGAAGGCCATGCCTTAACAGCCATGCTCTGATCAGTAATGAAGTTATCACAAACTGTGCTTGCTTACAAAGAAGTGGGCCGACTCACAAGAGGATTCCTTGAGTTGCTAGTCCTTGGCACTCCATCCTCCCCATCTGGATCTGGAAGACCCAGGAAAAGTGGAACATAGAGGCTAAGCTGAAGCAAGTACAGTAACTGACATTATACAACTTCATTTGCTTTCAATTTCCTGGCTTTGTGGAGCTTGAGCCAATATGGGATTTAGGAGTGTATGATAGATTTCGAACCTGGCTTGAAATTCTTATTGCTGAGTCTTTTAAATTCTTTGTAACTGTTTTTTTTCCTATTAAGATTTATATTGGACTTTTAAGAGTTTAATATTTTGCAAATTGCCTAGAGACCTTTGGCTATTGGAGGCTGTGGAAGTATAATTCATCATCGTCATCTGCGGTCTTAAACCAACAAGTTTTGTTGATCAATGAATTTTTCATATGTTTAGGATATTATAGAACACTCTGTCAAAGCCTTCCAAACCTTCATTCAGGCTTTAAGTGACATAAGGTAGATGGATATGGACACACACCATTTTGGGGGCATTTCAAATAAGGCTGAATCCTTGTAAGAGCTCGAAGGATCTCTGTGGTGGTAATCCCATTTTTAAAAGTATTTATTACATCTTCTCTCCAAAGAGTTCAGTGTAGCATGCACTGATGTATCCTCCCTCTCACCAGAAACACAGGGACTTATTTCCCCTCACAATTATGCAGTGAAAGGGTTTTATTCCATTTCCAGCATTGCCAGGAGAACTGTAAAGTACTTTTGCCCTCTGGGAAACCTAAAAGCTGCAGCAGTGATTCTTTTTCTACCTCCTGCGCATGTATTTGAATGGCATTAAAGAACTGAAATTGAGAGCTTAAGATTTAGGAGAAATCCTAATCATGAATATCACATCTGGGGCAGGGAGAGAGATGGACTGGAGGCTCCTGGCAGCCACAATAATCCTCAGAGCAACTGCCAGGGTAACCACACTGCCTGGAGTAAGGCTGTGAAAAGCAAGAAGGACTCATAAGCATCAGATAAGAACAGCGTGAACAAATGCAACACTGGCAAGAAGGAGCATAGCAAAGGCCTCTGGTGGAAGGGCACCAGTAGATTAAGAAGCAACAATGCAGCTCATCAATCAGACAATTATTGGGATCAACTCATCACTTTCCAGGCGTCCCCAGCCTGCTTAGTTCTACTAAGTGCAGAGACATTTAAACTCTTCCAGCCACAGGGCCATATTAAATTTAGGATACACTCTTGGGAGTCAGATTCCAGTGATGTTCAGGAGCAAAGGAGCAGGGCCAAAATACCAGCATTTCAAGTTTTCTCCAGTAATTAACCCTCTGGAGAGGCATTTCAACCTTTAAAAGAGGACAAGGAAGCTGGGGGAATAGCCAAGAAAACTCTAAACCATTACAGCTGGGGAAAAGGAGTGTGTCCATCTGGGAGCCTGCCCATGGGATCCTATGACTTGGAACTTGAATGGTTATGAAGGGAAAGCTGACTTAAGAATAGTGGTTGCATAGGTTCTTATCTTTTCCAAAAAGCTTTTTGAACCCCTGCCCCTAAAAACTACAGTTAGGACTGGTCAAGTTTAACAGAAAACAGAAGAGATTCCTGCCTGTTAGCATGGCAAAAACAAAAACAATCCCACTGTGGTTGCCCCCTGCCCAGACTTGTGTATTATTTCTAAATATGAAACATTTTCACATGCAACATTGAATAATTTGGCTACAATTCAAGTAAACCTATAAATGAGGATGGCAGCAAACCATGTATGGCGCCGGAGGCCTCTGGAATTTTTCCAGTGCAGCTTGCAACATGTCTAACAAGGTGTGTTTTTGATTGAAAAATGGCTTTGTTGGATCACAGTCCTATCACCTGCGCAAAAGCCTCGAGCTAGCACAATCATAACCAATTATCTGAAATAATTATTGCTGACTTGCACCCCATTTAACCCAAGACAGCCCATCCAAGGATACTTACAACAGAGAGCTCATAGAGGAAACGTCTTGTGCTCCGGTTACCATGGCAGACTTCCTTGAGTTTCTTCACAACATGTGCAACTTTTTCTGATTCTTTCTCACCTTGTATCTCACTGAAATCATTCAGTGACATGGGTGATAATCCAAGAGCATCAGCCAAGGCTTTCCAGTCATACATTTTTTCTGATACTGTGGATAAGATTGCTGAATAGATATAAGTCAGTTTTTTAAAAGGCAATGCAATATGTTCAAGGAGACAGTTGGTCGTAATGGCACTGTCCTTGATATCCATAGCTTGATCTTTGGCTATCACTTTGACATTTTTGCAATGAACCAGGCCAACCTTCCTTCTGAGAACTCCCACATACCACTCTTTTATTTTAGTCTGCCCCACAGCTCTGACCTTACCTTCACCAAGAAGTGCTATTGTGTCACCTTTAAAATATTCTAGCAAATAGTCAATTTTAGTTTGACGTAACACTGTTTTCAAAGCTATGCCATAGCGGGCAACATTTACAACCTTATTTTGAAAGACAGGGTATTTCACTGTTGGTACTGACAGCAGCGGTGCAGATTTAATCTCCTTGCGCTTTTCTAGTCGGTTTGGTTTATTAAACATGCCAGTGAACAACTTTGGAGCTGGCTCAGGGGTTGTAATGTAGAACTGGCATACTGGGTTGTTGTTTGGGACTTTGACCTGGACACGGAAGACAAACAGATGTATTTTATTTGCACTGAGCACAGAAAATGGGAAGTGTTGGTGAACCACCTTGCCACCTCTTTTTAATGTTCCTTCTGTAATAACTTTCCTTTGATCTTCTTCCTTTACTTCAAAATCAGGGTCACACGAGGCTACAGAAATGTTAAGATCTTGTGGCTTCTCAAGCATGAATGTGTGCTTCCCCCAGAGCTGGAAAACAACTGGAGGCATGCTCCTCCCACCCTTTTTAATGTCGCATACTCTAAGTTTCTCTGGAACATAGCTATGGGCAAACAATGCAAACACAACAGTGAAAGATGGATGGATATGTTTGGGTCCATAAATGCCAACTGAAAGTTTTCTGTGGATGTATTCCCAAGGACTTGCTGGCGAATTCACTGAATTTGTTTGGGCTACAGTGACAATGTACATCAAGTGGCTTAGATCTGTCAGCTTCACTTGTATAGTATCTTTATAAACATAGCAACTGTGTATTTTTTCAAATGGGCCTTCTTTATTGAGACCACACAGGCATACAATTTCAGTCATAACCTGACTAAAAGGGTCCTTCTTCACTTCTGCTGCAATTTTCATTTCAACCAAAATGGCTTCTGTGGTATTGAGGTTACTTAATGTAAGTTCAATCAATGGGCTCACAGTGATGGAAAACTCATGATTAAGTGAAGTTGGAGAGTCAAGGATTGCCTGTAAGCCAACCTCTTGGAATTCTCCAAATGCTACATGACCTTCAGGGAAATGAACAGCAATATCTGAGTCAGGAAGCTGAACAGAGCCACCCTTGTGATCCACTTTGCACACTACATGGGTTTCTATAGATTGGGTCTGTGCCCATCCTGGACTTTGATTTATCATATTCAAATCCAGGCAAGACCGGGCCAGCTGTCGTTGATTCAACCACACTGTCTTATAGGCTTCACGATCATGTTGAAGTGATTCACAACCTGAAGGTTGGCTATGGTTGGACGGTTCTGTGCAAGGAAGTTCAAATGTCTTAGTGCATACAATATCCAGAAGATCTGAAGCACTCCTAGATTTTGCTGATCCCCTTGAAGCTTTGTGAAGAAAAAGATAATCAATATTTAACTCATCTCCAGATGAAGCAGCAGAATCCCTGTTATTTGAGTCTTTAGAAAATAATTGGGGATCTTCTTTTAAGATGGAGATACATCGATTACTTTTTTCTTTGTTGCTTGACCGGGCTACATCATCTAGAAAAGGGTTAGATGCTGACAGTTCCTTCCAAAATGGATTTGTCTTAAACCCATCAGGGGGACCTTGCTTTAAGTCTTCAGACCAAAGGAACTTCAGATCCAATTCATTTTCTTTGTCATCTGCTGAAACATAATTAGAGTTAAGTACCTCCACTTTATATTTATACTCCTTCTAACTGTCTTTTTGCATATGCCAAGATACATCAGTTTCCCTTACATTAATTTACTTAAAGATGCCAGATACATTGCGAAGAAAATCCATTCTGGCTTTCTCCATCTTAAATTGATCGCTTCAGCCATGTTGGAAACTGGCCATGACATTGTTATGGATTCCATTTAAGTTTTAAACACAATGCAAAACCAGTGTGGTGTAGTGGTTAAGAGCGTGGGACTGGGACTCAGACGATCTGGGTTCTAGTCCCTGCTCAGCCATGGAGCCAACTGGGAGGCTTTGGGCCAGTCACGGATTCTCAGCCCAACCTACCTCACAGGGTTGTTGTTATGGGAATAACATGGAGGAGGAAAGATGATGTAAGCTGCCTTGAGCCCTTTGTAAGAAAAAGGCAGGATATAAATCGCAATATAAATAAATAAATCATAGTTCAGGTTTTATTTTTGGAAGTATTTGTCAATAGTCTTAAGAGTTAGCTATGTACTAGCAGCTGGTCAAATTTGTAGGCTGCAGAGCCAGTGTGGTGTAGAGGCTAAAGTGCTGGACCAGGACTTAGAACATCCAGTTCTAGTCTACAGGGTTCTTTAAGCTCACTGGATAACTTTAGCCCATTCACCAGTTCTCAGCCTCGCAGGGTTATTTCAAAAATAAACAGAGAGGAAACAGGGCATGTAAATTGTCTTAGGCTCCTTGCCAGAGGAAAATGCCAGAATATCAATGTAATAACTAAATAAATACTATACACAATCTCTTGAACTTATGCTCCCTGGAAAACAGTAAGACTTGCTTTGTAGTAGCCAGCATAGGATTTCCAAATATGTATTCATGTATACCTTTATTAGGCCAACAAAGCAATCACAAAAAAATGTGCAAACTTCCAGAACCTCCAGATTTCTCCCTTTATCAGGGAAGATTTTACAAAAAGCAAATTTAGCCTGGATTCCACTTCCAGGTGCTGGATGACATATGATGGGGCTTTCCATGCCAGCTGATTCGTTGGGCTCTCTTATTGTACTGTTACTTATTTCTAGCTGTTTCAAATTGTTTTATTTGTTGATATGGTCAAGATTGTACATTGTGTATTATGTCGCATTATGGTTTATAAATCTTGAGACTCACAAAAGGAGCTCTGATTATTATATAGGATGGTATAGAAATAAGATTAAATGAAATGGATCACACTATTAGGGTTATACCCAACATTATGTTACTGGAAAAATTAAAAGAATTGACACTGTATCATTAACAACAGCACAACTGATAGCAGAACAAGCAGCACACCTAGTACAAACAATGCATAGACTAGGAATGGGCTAAGTGCAGCCCATGGGCTTCTCAGCAGTGTGGCCCCTACCATCTTCCAAAATTCAAAGGGATCCCCACATTTTCAAAAATATTATATCCAACAAAATTAATTTGTTCGCAAATCCATTGGATGCTGTATAGGAGATATAGATGCCATTTGGATTTTATTTTTCTTGGTTATTTTCTCTTGCTTTGGCACCCATGAGGGAGGTAGCAAATATCTTGGTGGGAAAAATGGACCTTGGACCTCCTAAAATTATCTAATAGCCTAGACTAATGAAGTTAAAATATATTGTGGCAAGACTGATGCAGTCAAAATATATGGTGACAATCCTTTACCCACTTACCTGGGGGCATGCCCCATTGAACTCAATTTACTGCTGAACAGATATATAGGGAGATGTACTGTAAATGAAGAATGTTGAGATTTCATTCAAAATTTAGGAAATCATGTGTTTATTTTACTTCCCTTCTCAAATACTGTTGGGTAATTGTTTATATTTCAAGAGGGAAGATACACCTGGTTTGGATTCCATTTCCCTCTTTTCTTGTATGCAAACAGCCAGATTAAGCAGCTGCTCATTTTCCTGTTCTTTGTAGTTCTTTGTTCATTATTTAAAGCTTCCAATACCTCCCCATCATGTAACTTCTCCTATGCAGGATGTAATGGAAAGAATAGAATTTGCCTACAGCTTCACAAGCACCTTGTCCTTGATCCTATAAACAAAGTTTTTCTAGAACAAGAACAACTTGTGATTCCAGTTCTGCTAGAGATGGTGGGCTGCCAGCAAGATACCTGTCCAGTCATTCCTTATAGGGTTTCCGTCATCCAAGTCCAGCAGAGAGCTCTCTGATCTGCTCCATGAAAGGTCCTTTAGATGACACGGTGCAGACATTTTTCTCCTAAGAGATTTAAGAAAGATTGGTTAGCAAATTGAGAAATGGATAAAACTACAAAGCTTCTTCCATAATTTGGTATGAAACTAATATAAAAGGGCACAATCCTATAGCCTTTTGATGTGGTCAGCCATGGGAGGGAGTCATTGGATTTTTCAGCACTCCTGTGACCTTGGAGCTGGGACTCTGAAGGCTGAGCCCCTGACTCACCCCACTTTTGCTGCCAGTGCAAAAAGAAGTGTGCCAGCTCTCTGAGGACACAACTGGGGCTTGGAGAGGATAGAAAGGCTTATGTGAAACAGCACACTGGAATGTGCTCTCAAACAGCCTTCCTCAGCCAATGGCCATGTTGATCAGCAATGGTAAGAGTTGCAGTCTGGAGTGTACTAGTGGGTGGGAAAGAGGCTTTGTAGGTATTTCTTGTAAGTACACCCCATAGCTCAGAGATAGGCGACTCCAGGTGCTTTTGCTTACAACTCCTATCAGCTGTGTTGAGCATAGATCATGGGAGCAGTAGGCCACAGTTGCACCTCAGGTATAGCTTCGCAATGGCACATTCCTGAGAGCCAATGTGGTGGAGTGGTTAAGAGCGTGGGACTGGGACTCAGGCAATCCAGGTTCTAGTCCTGCTTGGCCATGGAGCCAACTGGGAGGCTTTGGGCCAGTCACGGATTCTCAGCCCAACCTACCTCACAGGGTTGTTGCTGTGGGGATAAGATGGAGAGCAGGAGAATGATGTAAGCTTCTTTGAGTTTCTAAGAAAAAGGCTGGACATAAATCTAAACAGGCAAACAAATAAATCAATATACTTGTGTAGCCGTTTAATGTTATTAAATTTTCAATTACATTTTTCCTCAAAGGTCTTGAGATTTTTCTGTTTATACCCCCACTAGAAGTAAAAGGTTGATTTTCTCCTAATTTTCTTCATTGTCGTATTTGCGATGGCCATGTCCCTTTGCACGTGCACACATGTGCGTACACCCACCCACACAGGAATGAGGCTAAATATGAGATATTTTGCAGCGTGCCAAATGGAAGCAGTACTCCCAGCACAGCACAGCTGATGTTGTTGCCATTTGCAGTGACAGTGCAAAAACAAAAACAAAACAATCCTCCCCCGCCCAAAAAGGAAAGAAAACCATCAGAGGAAAGGAAAGGAAAGGGGCACCACAGCGACTATCGATGATTAGACTTGCCTATAAGAAATTGCTGAAGAATTTTTCCGTCCACTGGAGAAATTGTCACCTTCTCCATTTCTCTGCCTGCCTATAAGGTGGAGGATTTAGAGAGGCCATTTCGGCATGGCTTTACTTGAAATAGCAGATCTGTATAGCTGGTGCTAAGCATAGTAGAAGAAACAAGACTTATACAGTCCTCAGTAGAGGTATTGTTCCAGTGTGCCTGTCACTTTTGGAAAGGGAGATCTCATAGTGAAATAGAACATTAGAAGGATAAAATCCTACACCCATTCACTCGGGAGTAATTCCCACTGAATTTAGTAGAACTTAATTCTGAGTGGAAATGCATAGCTCACACTGCACAGAGAAGCGAGTTGCAAGCTAGAATAGATGACTCAGCAATAGGCTGGTGTTTCAACAATACAGTTATATATGAGTAGCAGTGTGTGTCCTTATTACATAGCCCACTTCAAGCCATGTTAATGGCTAAATACAAGTTAGCAGAAGGCTCATTTAGGAACTTTCTCTTTTATGATCCATGGTTTACCCTGGGGATGCCCATGGTGTGATCAAGGGCACATGATGCGCAATATCAACCCAGGAAGGAACCCTTCTGGTGTGATGTAGTTTGCCAGCACAGTTTGGTTTCTTGGCAACTCCCATCAGCTAAGTTGATGTTGGTGCTTTTGCATAGTCAGATCTTAGTAACTAGTGGGGTTCATGAGATTTTGTTGCTGCTGGAATGTTTAAGAATTGGTACTGAGACATTATTGAAGTGTGAATGTTATGTAAAATATACGACTGTTACAATTGTGATTGCTAGGCTTGTTTTTGTGTATTGTTGTGACTACTGAGTTGTTTGTCTTCCCTGAAAACATTTATCCTTATCCAAAAGTAGTGTGTAAATGAAAATTTGATGCAAAAGTCTAACCTAATCAGCAGAATTTCCCCTCCTAAACACAAACACTTACATAGGAAAAAGAAACCTCCAGGCAAGGTTGTTCTATAGAGCATCAAGTTTATCTGTTTCCTTTTCCTATTTGCTTACAGAAGCATTAAGCTTGATTAGCATGGCTGAAATATCTGTCCAGGTCAAGAACAGAATGATATTGGTCATTGCAAAAGAGCACACAGGGAGCAGCTGGGGCTGAGTGCATGCAATCCCATCAGTCAGCTTTCAGTGGGATCAAATCCAATACTCCCTGCATAATTGGTTACTTCTTTTGGAAGGGTTTCGACACACAGGGCCCTGGTCATTGAATCTGGCAGGGCATCATGATTCTCCATCCAGCTAAGACATGAATTCATGCCCTAGCTAGAGTGAGATGTCAACATCTATCCATCCATCCATCCATTGCAGTTTCCCATGATAGATAAACTTATCTATCATGCAATATATCAACACAATCCACATAAAAGTCCATAAGAACTTTACGCTCCAATCTTAAATATACACTCCAACTGCATGCACCCAATTTAGTTTGAACTGCTAGTTAGAGGCAAAATATGTGATGCAGGTTTACAATAAGATATATTTATCACTGGGGAAGGGTGAAAGGTAAAGTTAAGTTGTTTTTGAGTAAAAGCACGTGGTAAGGGTTCACTGATGCTTAACTTTTTCCCCTTTTCCATTTGCCTAATCTAAATATGTTCTCCTTCTCTCAGCCTACTATTTGCCATAGAAAAAATATATACAAGTACAATATGGGTATCTATTTTTCCATCACAGCTTAGTAGGTGCTTTAGCTAAGGAAAATGAAGAAAAGTAAAATTTCATTTATTTATGTATTTATTTAAAGTGTTTCTATTCCATCCCCTACAGAACACCTCAGGACAGCTTACAATAAATAAGACATGGCTTACAATAAATTCAAATACACACACTTGCTGCTATCCATATGTAACTACTTGTAAATGAGAACGGTGGGTGATCCAGTTACACATCTCCCAGGCCTCACGCGATTTAGATCGCATGTGATAGCCAGCAAGGCTAGTGCTCCTGGGGCCATGTTTCCTCTCGCACTTGATGAGAATTAGCTTGTTTTTTTTTTTAAAGGAATTTGAAGGTGCCCAAGCTATTATTCATCTCTCTTCAATTATGTTACTTGCCATGAAAAGAAAATAGGATTTTGTGACCACAACAAGCTATGTAGAAATACCAGCACAAAAAGGAAGAGGAAGAGGAAAAGGAAAAAAGCCCGATCAGTCCAAGGGTCTATCTAGTAGAGCATTCAGTTCCCACAGTGGCCAAGAGTTGACCACAGGATCCCACAAATGGGACATGCATGCAACAGAACCCTCCTACCCATGCTCCCCAGCAACCGGTGCATCACAGCTCATCACAGGTGCTGTGACAGTTCTATATTGTTACCATTATATTTTCTAGTAATACATAGCTAGTTTTATAGCTTACCCACCATCAGTTGCTTTTCTGAAATTACCACACCACAACCATTCAAGGTTTGATTCATTTAGCATATTAAAAAGAAACTACCTTGAGGGATAGTTGGGCCCATATTTCTCATTCATACTGCTCAATTTTATTTCTAAAGCTTTATTCATCCCAGTAAAAATATTTCAGACTTAAACCAAAATGAGACAGGAGAAGCAGACACTTGTTCAATAAAACATCTCTTGGCATTTGATCTCGTTCTCTGTGTCATTGCATCTGCTTTAGAGCAGAGATAGGAGAAAAAAGAGAATAATTTAACCATCTACACAAAATTGTTCCGTGTGACTCAATATGATGAACTATCTGTGGAACATAACAGGAAGTGGAGAAAGAATAGGAAGACTAAAATACCAGTGCTGCGCTGCTAAGCTAAGAATATGTGGAATAAAAAGGACTTTGCAGCTTGTTCCTGAATTCACAATATAAAAGTCAATCAATGAAATGCCAGCATATTTTGACCTTTTCTTATGTATGCAAATATTGTGAAATGAAGTGCTCATATTCTAAATGAGGAAAACAAGAATATTGTTCGGCAAAACTCTGCTAGCATGCTGCAATTTAAAGTAATAGATACATTAAAGAAAGACATCATGTGGACAAAAGAAGTGGGACAGCACACCAGAAAGCAGGGAAACAGCTGCTGAATGATGCAGATTGTACACATATTAAAATGAAGTGACTGAGCAGGGGACCACGTATAATGCCAGCAGATATGGACAAGCTGCTCATAAAGTTTAGAGAAACAGAGATAGGCATTCCCCAGAAGATTATCTTTGGGGTTTTTCAGTCCAGTTCTGCTTGCAAATATAATCAGTAGATTAGGCAAATAAATGTAAACTCTCAAGAGGAAGGAACAATCTTATAAAAAAGGCTCATTGAAATTCCAAAGAGCTGAGGCAGCCATTCGGGAAGCAGCTAAGAAGTGAGAGAGTAAAGACCCTTCACATGCTGTCTTCTGCCTCCACTCCTTCCACTCAGAATACAAAGGGAGAGAAGTTTACTTTCTCTAAGGATACATGATTTAAAATGGATGCATGCTTAAAAACATATAGAGCCACAGATGAAACAGATGTGAATTCCATGAACCCTTAAGATCGAGCTCTTAACATTCCTGAACAATACTGCATTGCAAGACCAGAACTTTAGCAGGTGGGCTCTGCCATCAAGATTAGATTACAAATCCTAAATGTCATGCCCACCCCAAGAAAATAAACTCAAGTCAAATTCTGAAATCCCAAAATTCAGACTCAGATTAATAGTTATGCATATTATTCATTCTTGTTCTTTCTAGTAGTTGCCTGTGGTTGGGCTATTAAAGGAGACATGTAGGGATCTCATAAATGATCTTCTGGGTTGTCATTGTTCACTT